GTCTCACAAACTGTGAGATACTATCAGATGTTACAAAACGAAAACCTTGAATTGTTTTGGATTAGACAAATCTTGTTTTACTCTGTTATAATACAGAAACGGTGCAGTAATACATGAACACCCCAGACACCAAATGCAAATGGACATAAAAAAAGATGTTGAAACAAAATTTGTTTCGTCTAATAAGCCAGTAAGAGGGAACAGAGTACTTGAACGCATCRTGTGGGCGAGAGCGATTGTCCATGCAGACAGCAGAAAACTACATTTTATGTGAAAATTATGCAAGGCAGAGCATGTTTATATAACTCTGGTTTAGTTGTGATATACAWAAAGCTACAGCGGTAGGTTAAAATCTTTTAGGCATTAAAAACATCTGATTTCCCGAAAAAAAAACAACAGATTTTTAATCTGTAAAGATGTCAGGTCAGGCTTTTTTGTTAACATTGTTTAGATCTAAATATTGTAAAAGTAAGTATGCAAGCTTATATGAGCATAATTAATTCAAACTGTGAATCTGTGTCATGTCCTTGTGTGAGTCAAAGTGCATGTGTCCAAGATGGAAGGACATTATTTAACTAGTATTGTTGTCAGTTCCACCACTCTCTTTGATGAATTTTCTTCCCTTGAGGGTTTTACCCATAAGTCAGCGTGTTTGACAGTGTCACGAGGTCAGAGATTTACAGAAATAAAGTAACATGCCATTTAAAAAAAAAAAAAACAACGGTCCTTATTTTATATTGCATCATGTGCTGCTATAAAAAGTTTGCTACGGAGGCAGTTGATCTGTCAGGTCTCATTTCCTTTTCCTTCAGAGGTCAAATTCCTTCAAGGTGTTCATTACCAATCTGTGTTTTTCTCTTAAGGAAATGTTTCAGAGAATCACAGTCCTGCATGTCAATGCCTTTTAATAAGGTTTGATTCAGCTGGCGCTCTCCATTTTGGCTAGCAGGACAAAATAGCCTCTCAGGCGTAGCGCACGCTAAGGCCCAGGCTACTTCTTTCTTCTCTCTAAACCTCTGTGCAGGGTATGTTTGACCGGAGTAAATATAGCCTGTTGGTTTTAGCTCCAGGATAAACACAGATGTTGAGGTTGCCTAGCTTGCCGCAGGTTGGCCAGCATCCTACCAGCGGTCAGCGTTGGTAGCAGAGTGAGGGAGTGAGAGAAGAAACCATAGTGTCCATCTACAAAAAATAAATAAATAAATAAATAAAATAAAACTGTCATAGTGTTATTGGATTTGACCCTAAGCTTTTGATGAGATTATAGGTGATTGGCCTGTACATTACTGTCCATTCATCAGCTTCAGAGTGGAGGTTCTGTAGATATAAATACATCCAGAAGAGTACTTGAGGTTTAAACTTGAATGCATTTGTGCTTATTAAGACAGTAGAGAGCCTACAGATATGAGGCAGTCTGTAATAAAACCAGATCTGACTGCACAAAGTATTTTTGAGGTCTCACACTGATTTCACCGGACCGAGGGTAGCTGCAGTAACTGGCTGTTGGCCTTTTTTGTCCCTAAGCAGTACTAAATGTTCATAACATAACAATAAGTGATTCCAGCTTTTACTTTCCCTCTGTTTTAATGTTCCRCTGTACCCCACATACCTCTTAAAAACTGTTGTTTAATCTTTGTAATGTGAAAAGTTATTGAACGAGAAACGCAAATCGAGCGTTCAGTCTTCATTCCTCTGTCACAAAAATAATTCARATATCACCACTTTATGTTGATGGTCAGGGGAGCTTAAAGGGACAGCTGGCACCTTTTTGTTTAATGACTTTTTACTTTACCAAGTTCTTGTTTTGTGTCTTGGAAGATGGATTCATCTGCTGTTTAAAGGGGAAGTGTGTGTTGTTACACCTGCTTCATATTTGTTCCCAATAGAGGTTTCACATATAGAGATAACAGGTGGTGTGTGTGTGTGTGTGTTTCCACAAAGAGCTCTGTCAGACACTAGCATGGCAGAAATGTTGCACAAACAGGAAATCCTGCATGACAGGATTAGAAAAACAGCTGATTTTGTTTCCATCTATCTTTTAATGTACCATGGATCAGTACATTAACCTCTTGCACCCCTAATACAGATGTGCCTGACCATTACAAATCTCTGAGTTATGGGTTTGTATCACAGTAATGACAAAGCTGCATAAGCGCAAACCTACTKCCTTTGCTAGAAATAAATGTCTGACATTCTTTGAGGAACACACATCGCCTGCCGCCTTGTTTTAAATTAGTCATCTCATGCTGAGAAGGGACAGATTTATAGTCGTTTTGGTCAAACCTGGTAAATGAGACTRTGTGTGAGCTCATGCGACACTGTTAGATCTTGTGAGATGTGTTAGTGCTTAGAGAATGTGTTGGGGATGACTCCAAGCTGCTACTGAAATCAGTGGTTCAGACCCGAATCCAGAAAGTGAACCAGACTTACCAGMTCTAGGCTCACAGCTACTTACAGTTTCATTAAATCCACCCAGTTGTTCAGATATTTTGTCAATGCTACAGACAAATAAAAACATGCTCAGACAAACAAGCAAAGCCATTATCGCCTCTTTGCAGCGTCAGGCGATAATGGGAACCGTTATGTCAGAGATTTTCTGCTGGAGTCGTGTTCTCCAAACAGGAGGGAGAAGCTGAAGGAAAGAGAGCAGGCAGAAACATAATCAGTCTGTATTTGTGTTAAGGCTGTTTGCTAGCATTTTTTGACTCCTTCTGTGCTGCCTATTTGGAGGTCAAACTGTTGGACAGGAAATGAGTTTGTAGTGTGTGTGTGTGTGTGTGTGTGGCTGAGATGAGTGTTGCTGTGAATCAGATATTAGGCATCAGGGAGAGAAGTGGCTTTATGCTTTAGAGATCTGTCACTAAGACAAATGACTGCTTCACAGGAGGGAAGTAACTTTTTTTATTTAAAGCTCAGAAAAATGTCAAAGGGTTAATCTTCARTGTTCAGCTGATATCCTGTGAGTTTTTTTCTCTCTTTACCCATGGATTGTTGGAATAGTTTATGAGCTTACTCTAGTTTCCGGAGAGGAACCAAGCTGCTTCCAGCGGCATGTTGGGGGGAAAAAAAAAAGTGGGGGGG